TGGGCGGGGACGGCCAAGTGGCCCGCATGAAGACCCAGCTCCGGCAGGGGGCAGGGGCCCGCCCGAGGAGGGACTCCCGGCGGCCCCACCGCAGACGCGGACTCACCATTTCGGGGCAGCCGACGCCGTGGAACCGGCAGGGCACCCGGCACTCACCGCAGGTCCTGGCATGGCCCTGGAACTAGAAGGAGTGGCGTCACGGAGGCCGCTCTCTCCGCCCGGCTGGGCCCACACGGGCCCTCTGCCCTCTTCTCTCTCATTGGACCGAACCCCAGCAGCCCATCCCACAGCCGCAGCTGCACACGGGCACGCACACCCAGGCTGGCACGCACGTGCCCGCAGGGTCGACGGCCGAGGTGGGGCAGGCTGGGGGCCCGACGTGGGGGCCGACATGTCGGAACACCTGTGGAGACCCCGTCTCCACTGCACAGCACACGGGCCGCGTGCAGTCAGAGGCCCCATGGGGTGCCCTGGAGCCAGAAGCCTGGGCTGCAGTCGAGCCGCGAATGAGGAGGGGCTGCTGGGACCAGGGCCCGGACACCCACATGGCCCAGAGCGGTGCTGGCACAGGAAAACGCCAGGACCCACGGAGCCCAGAGAGAGGCGGCTGCGCAGTCACATGGCACCTGGACGCAGCACCTCCAGGAGGGGAGTGGCCAGGGCACGACCTAAAGGGGCCTCTGCTGCCGTCCACCGGGGGCCTGGAAGGTGAGACCAGTCCCCCAAACGCCACAGGGTGACACGAGGAGAGTACACCCAGCTCTGAATTAAGGTCAGAAACTGAACGGTGCCCCCACCACAGAAACAAGTCGAACGCCACTAAACAAAGCCAAGGACAGACGACTGCAACCTAATCTCTAACGCGTAGTTCCAAACCCAGAGGAAGCATGGCTGGAAGCCCCGAGAAACACAGGCGCCGCAGACTCTCACCAACGCGAGAGATGCAGACAGACGTCAAGCAGAGCAGCGCTCGGCCATGTTCAGGGCCTGAAAAAGCAGCTCAGAACTACCCGAGACGCGCCCCACCGCCAGAGGGCGAGACCCCGAGGGTCGGACGTCACACTCCGCTGGCAGGTGCGGGCCCGGGAACCCTCTGCAGATGGGGTGGCTTCTGAACCACCGGGGCAGAGCGGCTCTGTGCTCTGGCAGAGCACGTGCGTTCCTCCCTGGCTTCTCGAAGGCTCCCTGCTCCTAGGGCTCCCTTTGCAGCCATGTGACCATTTTACAAAAGTACAAGACAACTTTCTTCTCAAGAACAATCTGAAAAACTCAGGAGCCGAGAGAAACGAATAAGCTTGAGGCAACACAGACCCGGCAGCTTGTCGACTCAGAAACGACTTCGCGAGGCGAAGCCACGGCAGCCTGCGCGTCCTCCAACGGCTGGAGGAGCGGGAAAGAAAACTAATCGCCACGCACTGCGAGTGTGGTCGGCGGTGACCCTGGTCCGTGTCACGAGGCTATCGCAGGCTGTGGGGTACCCCGTGACCCACTGCGCTGATGTCACCAGCTTCTCCTAGGCAAGAAGCTGTAGCGTGGGAGTAAAAGCCTGAACTGGAACGGTCAAGTGGGAGCCCACAGAGCTGGGGCTCCTGCCGCCTACCCTCGAACCTGCACAAGTGGGGGACAGGCGACCTACGCCCTCGAACCTAAAGAACAGTCCAGTCTGGGTCTCACTGCGCACTCTACCTCTGCCCAGGCTTCACTGTTCCCGTCACCAAAAGCTGAATAAAAAAGTGACCCATAGGCGGCCCCCAACACTCTCCCTGCCGTGACACCCCCACGTGACCCCACACTCAACCCTCTGTAACCTGAACCCCCCATTCACTCCCACGTGACCCCTGACACTCGCCTCACGTGACATCCCACGTGACCCCCGCCCCCACCCGCCTGCGACCCCGCACAGGCCGTTGCTCCTCCCCTGGGCCTCGAGTCATAGCCGACCGTGTGCGCACAGGCCCCGCATGCCAAGGCTGGCGCCCGGCCCGGCAGGGCTCAGAGGCACCAGGACACGACTCACGTCTTCACGGGGGATCCTGCTGCCACAGTCGTCACACGTCACGGGGAACCTGGGGCAGACTTCGTGGTGCGCCTTAAAGAGAAGCGGTCAGTTGTGTGCGGCACTGGGGTGTGCCAGGCCCATGGACTGGGCCTGGCGTCGCTGTCCCCGGCATCCTGGGGCCCGTGGTTCCCCCAGACCTCCACCCCAGAAAGGTGGGGAACACTGGCACCCCGCAAACACCCAGGGGACTCTCAGAGATCTCAGCAGCTCATCTGGGGGCCTCCAGGGCAGGAGGAGGGCACCCCTGCTGGAGGCCCTGAGACGGGCCAGCGAGATGGAAGATGCCGCTCTGACCCAGGCACGAGGCTGGCGTGACTGTGCCCGGCCTGTGAGCAGCTGGAACATCTCTGAGACTCTGATGAGACGCCACAGGGCCCCACTGTAGTCTGGCCCCAAACAGCCCTCTAAACCTAACAGTCTACAGGAAGAGGGGACAGAGGAACACGTTAAAGACACCCTGGGACGCGATCGGCCAAGGCGGAATGGCCAGCCTCTTTGATGAATGGCCAAGAAAAAGAAACACCCACAGGGAACCGTTTAATCGACGAACGCTTGCAGGTGCCTCAGTGAAATGCAGGCAGGACCATCTGGGTCCTGCTGCCAATAAACTAATGTGACGGATGCTTCAGACACAGAGCGCACGAGTGCCCGTGAACACGTCACTGTCCAGACGCGGCAGGAACAGACAGCTCTGTGCAAACAGAGGCGCCCGCCCCGCCCTTCAGAAACACATTTGGAAGAATTTTTGAGACTTGTTTAGAAACAGTCCGGGGAAGCCGGAAGCAGCCTGGCCTGCTGTGACACTGACACAATCGAGTGAGGGTGATGTGATCTCAGTAGCCCTTCCCTGTGTGTGAACTTTTCTCAAATAAAACAGCTTCTCGAAATGACTTGGGCTTTCACTTCACACCTAGTTCGCACCGAGAACGCTCAGCCGCCACGGTGACGGCCACCGCCATGCTGGCACCGACGCGCCCGCAGCCGCCTCACCTCCACGCTGGCCCGGCAGCAGGGCGCCCCGCAGTGCTGGCAGCTGAGGCTCCTCTCCGGGCACTCGCGCTCCGCGTGGCGGTCCCTCTCGCTGAGGCGGACCAGGCCTTTACACGCCGGACACTCGGTCAGCATGAACGGGCAGTGTCCTTCATGATAGCTCTGGCAGCAGAGAGAACAGTGTCAACAGAGCACATGGCAGGACACTGTGGGCGACCACACTGTGCCATCTGTGCAGATGGCCACGTGGCTGAGGCTCTGGTGTTGGTGCTGGACCGCTGGGACCCCATGTCAACCCGGCAAGGGTCAGAGGTCAGGACCAACTTCAGCTGGCGGTAGCCTACTCACACCCCCAAGATGTCCCTCCCTGCGCCTGACCCACGGGGACACTGAGAGGATTGCTCCAAATGACGTTCGGGGACCACATGCACCCTGGCCAGTGATAGGGGCTGCGGAGGGTGGGACAAGGGACAGGGTGCAGAAAGGCAGGAGCAAAGGGAGAGCACCCAGAGAGGGAGCAACGGAGCCGGCTGGGTGCCAGTCAGGACAGGCAGAGGAATGACAGCAGATACGCTATGAGAACAGGCCGCAGGGGCCAGAGAGGCAGAGAAGACACTGACAGAGCCCAGCCTCTCACGCCCACACCCTCGCTGAGAGCCGGCGAGCTCCACCCTCCCAGAGCGGATGGCTAGTGCCAGAAATGTGGCCGGGAGGCCCCGAGGTGCAGCCTAAGGAGGCGGGGTCCCAGCCTAGGGCCCTCAGGGTGACAGTGTCCCGGAACAGGCCGGCAAGGCCAGGCCTGGGAGGATCCCAGGAAAAGCCAAGGCGCTGCCTGGAAGGAGGCAGTGGGAGGACAGGCTCAGGTCCAGGGTTCAAGAGTCCGGCCCGGATCTAGCCCAGCCTCAGGCTGCCGCTTTGCCACGAGCGAGCCGAGGCAGACACATCCACGGCTCTGAGCAGCAGGGCACTGGGACGGGACCTGGGACCGCGGGCCTCAAGGAGGGCTCGGAGGAGAGGCAGGAAGGCGGGGAGGCCTGGCCTGTGCCCGAAGCCAAGTGGATCTGCCCCAGAACCAGACTCCTGCGAGGCCAGGTCAGCCCCAGTCCCCGCCCAGCCCTGTGGAGCTCTGGCTTAGCGGCCGCAGGCTGGACAGAAACCGTAGGCAACTCCAGTTTGCTGTGAGGGGAACAGAGAAGGGTGTGGGAGGCAGAAGACCAGGAGCTGCAAATACGCTTCTTTCTTTTTAATTATGGTAAAATACACGTGAAATTGACCATCCCCACCAGGGTGAGCACACAGCTCGGTGGCATCCGGCACAGTCACAGTGTGTGTGGCCATCACCACCATCACCTCCAGGACTTCCTCATCTTCCCAAACGAGAACTCTGTCCCCATTAAACTCTCACAACCAGACCCTCCCCTGGCCCTGGCCCCACCGCCTACTTCCTGTCTCTGTGGATCTGTCTCCCTTGGGGACCACCGTGAGTGGGGTCCCACGGGATTTGTCCTTCTGTGATTGGCTTCTTTCACTGAGCACGATGTTACGTTCCACACTGAACACACCGGGGCTGGTCTCACGTGCTGATCGGGACGATGCGGAGGAAGGGAGCCTGCCGGGGAGGCCAGCTCTGCTGTGGGGACTGGGGCAGCGCAGGGCCTGCCTGGAGAGCAAGGTCCTGAGAGGTCAGGCAGGAGGAGACCCCAGACGAACTGGTCTGTGGCCCCACAGCGTCACAGGTGCGTCCCCACACACGGGCCGCGTCTCCATCCCTGGCGACTGCGTGCCTGCTTGGGCCGAAGCTTGCCATTCGGGAGTGAGCAACAGGTGACCTCCACAGACGCAACACGAGTGGCACCCACTGGCAGTCGTGGTGTAGGGACTTCAGATGGAGTGACTGGCGGCACCCACGTCTCTCACAGGACCCCACAGCACATGCCTCCCAGGGCAGGCACCCCTGTCCCTGGGCCTCCCGCCTGATCACCCGCAGATCAAACACTGAACTCGCAGCACACCTCCCTGGCGACCCCGACGCTGCAGCAGCACAGAGTGGGATCTGGCTCCCCAGGGAGCAGCCTTGCGCGGCCCACCTTCCCCAAGGTCACTGGCAGACCTGGGCCTGGATCACGCTGAGCAGGAACTACCAATCCTCCCCAAAGGGCCCTCAGCAAAGATCTGGCACGTGGCACAGAAGCTGCCGCCCACGTTTCAGGGCCACTGTGGAGTGTGCTCTCAGCCAGGGGAAGTCCCCAGGCGATGTGGGCCTGCGCCAGCCCCACATGCCACCTTCACGAGCCACAACAGGCTCCATCGGGTGCCAACTGCTGGGAGACCTTCAGAGAGACATGCCCGCTTCAGAGAAATTGGTGTCCACTCAGCCAGGGCTGCAACTGAATGTTGTGGGGGGGGCTCCCACCGCCTGGCTGGGCCTCCCAGCTGTCTCCCCTCCAGCTGGTGTCCTCTCAAGGCCCCGCCCCGGAGGTCCGACTGTCCCCCACACTCCCGGAGCAGCCGCAGGGTGGGGGTGTGCAGCTCAGCGCTCCATGGTGAGCACTCGGCAGGCGCTCCACAAACACCTCTGAACACAACTGGAGTTTTAAATCACAGCTCTCAGGAAATAACGTCATGGCAGAGGCAAAACGTGTCCAAAGGCCAAACGGGACTCCCCACCTTCCCACACTTTCAACAAATGGCCACGTCAGCGTCTCACGAGCCAGCCGGACTCTGAGCTGCCCCAGGGCGAAGGGGGAGCAGAGCCCCCTCGGGCAGAGGTGGCGGCACCTGTGTGCCCAGCTAGTGGTGCTCCCCACCAGCCACGGCCAGCGAGTGTCCCAGAGCAGCACCGCCCTCCCACATGACCAAGCCCAGCTCTCGGGGACTTTCCAGAGTTTGGGGCAGCCAGGGACTTTCCAGCTTGTATGCCTGCCGGCCAAGGTGAAGACCCAGGGCTGGCTGCAGTCCCTGCCCTTGGCTAGAGGCCCTCAAAACCGCCTCCTGCACCCCAGGCCTGGGGACAGCAGACACCTCAGAGGAAACAGGAGCGGGGGCTGGTCCACCTGTCCCCGGGGTTCTCAGTCCCCTCAAGAGGCAGTCCCCACATGGCCTGCCCTCCCCGGAGAGACCCTGACCTGAGGCTCGCTCTCTGGACAGCCAGGCCGCATGGCTGCGGGTCCAGCACAGCATCGCTGCCTGCGCAGGGGCAGTGTGCCGGCCTCCGGGGGGACAGGGCCCAGCCCATGGAAGGACATGGGGCACTCAGAGCGGCGGCACCTGCAGGCCCCTCACGTGCAGCCATCTGCCGCAGACACAGCCAAGCTGCCCGCGGGCAGGACACGGCAGAGCCCCAAGTCGTCAAGTCAGTTCTGCGTGCAGGTGGCGGCACGCTGGCCAGGGCCCGCCCCTTGCCCCTGCCACCGAGGCGCGGCACTAGCCTGGGCAGCGCTGGGCGCGAGCGCGCCAGGGCGCCACACGCAGCCCCCGCCCCACCGGCTGAGGCTGCACTGGGCAGCACCACGGCCTCTCCTCGCTGAGCCCGACCTGTCGCTCTGCGCCACTGACCACAACCCCCTCCCCAGCCCCCGACCGCCACCACCCCACTTCCTGTCTGAGTCTGCCTCCTCTGGGCCCTCATAGGATGGGGTCCTATAAGCCCCGTCTTGCTGCGGCCGAGCACACTCCCCCAGATCCGTCCTTGCTGCTGCCTGTCAGGACTGCCTTCCCACTTTAAGGCTCAATGACGTCCCATGCTGGATACGACACGTCTCGTCTGTCCCTTCGTGTGCTGGTGGACTTGGCCACTGTCAACCTCCATGGCCAATAGCCGTCTGCGACATCAGTTTCTAGAAGGCATCTGTTAAGGCCAGGTGATGACCAGACCACTGGACGAGCGTTGGCAGCCAGGTGCCCACCACACGGACCCCACTGTGCCAAGGCACGGACACGAGCCAGCCTTGCCTGGCAGAGACAGGCCGCGGAGGAGACACACACACCGGCCGCTGACGCTGCCCCTGGCCAGGTGCCTCTGTGGGACTACAGGACACGTGTGCACATGCCTTCTGCAACTTCTAACGTCCACACAATTCCAAATAAGAAAGTGCTTTCTCTGAAGACACGATAGAAAGATCCCACCAAGAAAGCGAGCTGGTGTCCTGTGTGTTTGGGGACGTGCTGCAGTGGCACTCTTCGGCTGGCGCACACTGCTGCCACGCCGTGGCCCCATCCGACAGACTGGGAAGCCGGAGCACGGAGAGGCAGCGCCCCTGCGGCCGCCCCCATGGCACGGCCCGACAGTGTAGCCCGAGAGTGTAGGTGGACGTGCAGTAAGTGGCGGCCGCACCCCCTCGCGCAGACAGGCGGGGCTGCGCCCTGGGGAGGCCGTGCCCTCGCGGGGAGGCCCTACCTCATACTCTTTGAGGGTCCCCTTCCAGGTGCAGCCGTGGTTGGGGCAGACGGCCGGCAGGCTCTCCACCTCCCTGCGGGCAGCATTGTCTGGGAAAGCCTGGGGAGAGAGCACCCGCGGTGAGCCTGCGCCCCGCGGGTAAGCCTGCGCCCCACCACCCCTGCACGCCCGACTCCGGACAGTGGCTCTCAGGGCCTCTGGACCAGTCCAAACTCCAGACGTCGCTGAAGCAGCCAGGCTTTCTAGCTGCTAAAGTGGCGGTCCCCAACCTTTGTGGCACCAGGGACCGGTGCTCCCGTGAGAATCCAGTGCCCAGTGATCTGAGGTGGCGCTGGGGAGCGGCTGCAGATACAAAGTTTCGCTCGCTCACCCACTGCTCACCTCCTGCTGTGTGGTCTGGTTCCTAATAGGCCACGACTGGCACCCATCAAGGCCCGGGGGACTGGGGAACCCCCAACCTGCCATCGGTGTCATCAGAGGAAACGCTGAAACATTTTCTGTTTGACGTTTTTAGTGTCAAGGCTCCCAACTCACCGAGCTGCTCTCTAAAATAGAAACGCCGTCCTCGTATATGCCCTCGTGCACGCAGGCAGCGCAGTTCTGGGGCCCGGAGCTGGCGGGGAGAGGGGAGGCCTGTGTGAACCCGGTGCCAAGCACACGCAACGCGCCTGCTCGACCCTTGCCACCCGTCCCCAAGTCAGCGACAAGTGCACGTCAACGACGTGACAGTCAGAGCATGAACAACGGGCAAAACGATCTGCTCCCGCGACCACGATCACCCCCACTGTGAACAAGGCGCTGGACCGTGGGACCCGGAACGTGGTGCTGGCTCGTCCCACCTCCTGCCAGCCCGCTCAGCACGGGTATGTCCTGGAGCAGCGCGCCCGGCGGTGTGCATGGCCCCGTCCAGTGTGCATGCGGACACAAACCACCTTGGACGGTGAATACTCCACTGCACCCCGCACCCCCAGAACGGCATGCCACGTTTCAGGTTACTGACTTCATGCTCTCCTCTGCCAGGGTTTCGGAGCCCATCTCCCGTGGATGCGCGCCTGCCTGGAGTCACCTCCCTGGCCAGCACGGCCCAAAGGCCGAGCCCGCCCGCCCGCCGTACCTCAGGATGCTGCTCAGACAGAAGGAGCAGTAGCGGTGGCCACACTGCGCCTGGAAGGGCCTGCGCAAGACGTTCTTACAGGCCGAGCACAGGTACTTGTCCTCCAGCTTGGTGCCCAGGACGGTCTTCGAGAAGCCGGGCTGCAGCACATCTAGGGAGCTGGGAGGGGTCACACTGGCCGCAGCCATGAGAGCCGCGCCCCCCGCGCACCACCAAGGCCTAAGGAAGAACAGAGGGCGTCACGGCAGGTCCCGCGAGGCGCCCCGACTCCAGAGTGGTCCTCCGGGGACAGTGGCCCCTGCCTAGCCACGGGGAAGGGGTCTGAGCCGTCAGGCTGATCGTAGTCAAGAACCTGAGCAGCAGGGTTTGGGCGCTCTGGGGAGCCCTGGAGACGATCCTCGTCCAACTTCCTGTCACAAACATGGAAACCAAGGCTCAGCAGAGTGGTGACCTGCACACCCACACGCCTGGCACCCGCACACCCACCCCACAGGCCCCGGACCAGCCGGCTGTCCTCAAGGTCATCAGTCCAGGCTTCCACCCCCAGCCCGCTTGCTGTGACCCATGGACGGAGTGTGTGCCTGCGTCTTAGCACAGAGGATGCCACCTTATTGCCAACACTAGTGACCAGCTGTCCTCGGTCGTCCCTGAGGGTCCTACAATGGTGATGGCTTTTACAGTAGGTCTTACAAATCAGCCTGCAGGGCCCAGGAGGTGGCCACACCATCCAGCAGTGTCTCCCACGCCGGCCTGGTGCCACCACTCTGCTCCCCATCCACCAACTCGTGTCCTCCCTTTAGAGCCACCCTGTGCTGTCCACTAGGCTTTGGCAAGGCTGCTGAGGCGAGGCCATCAGGGCCGGCGACTGGGGGGGGTTCCCACAGCACTCAGAGACCTTGCGTGGGGCTCGCTATTCAACATCCACACTCTCAGAAAGCCACAGGAAGTGGCTTTCTGGCCCCTGAAAAAGTGCCCAAGAGCCCCTGAACATGAAGCGCTGTCCCCAGGCAAGCTCGAGACCCAGGGGCAGCAGCAGCCCCCCCTTTCCCGCACGCCCCTGGGCGCACATCCCACGGGTCCTCTGGCGGACGCATGCGACGTCCCTTTCCAGGAGACAGTCTGCGCAGGGCAGCGAAGCTGTTCTTACGCTGTTGCACTGTCCTAAGTGGGCGCGAAACCACAGGAAATGGCGACAGAAGGTGTCGTCCAGGCAAAGCCATGGCCCCCAAGGCTTCCACGACCTACGTGGGCTCCTGCAACCCATGGCCCCCAAGGCTTCCACGACCTACGTGGGCTCCAGCAGAGGGGATGCTACGCCCAGGGTCACTCCGCGCAAGGCCACGCCCATCTCTCCGCTGCTGGCAAGCCCGCGTGTGCTCTGCACACTGGGGCTCGCTCAGGGCCTGGACGATCCATCCAACAGCTGGACGACCTCATCCTTGCAAGCCCTCGTGGCGCAGATGTGTAAGCGCCAGAAGGGGCCCCATTAACGAGACCTCTCGGCGGGAGCGCTAAGCCGGAAGCCCGGAGAGCCAGCGATGCACCAGGAGGACGGGCCAGGGCGCCCCCACAGGGTCCCGCTGCGGCCTGCCCCGCCGCCCACACGCCTGGACAAGGGGCCCGCAAGAGCACGCCAGTCCGGGGCAGGACTCTGCGCTTTCCGTTCTGACTTCTGTCTGGCCTTGCTACCAAACTGAGTCCACGAACTATTCATGGTTTAAAATCATCATCCTAAACTATGTCAGAGAAATTTTTAAATGTCACTAAAAAAATAAAATTAAATAAAACGTTTTTTAGGAAAAAACTTTCCTCTATACTTCTCACGTTAAATAACAGAGCGTGAGGCGTCCAGGGCTCTGAGGGCGGGCAGTGAAGGACAGAGGCCACTGTGCCGCGCACGTCTGGCTGACTAGCTCCCTGCAGCGCCCAGCCAGCGTGCCACCCCCACGGCTGGCCCAGGTCATGGCCATCTAACCACCGTCTGTGGCAGAACGAACCCACGCTATGAATCCGGTGACATCTACTCCTGTTAGACACAAAAACAACATCCTTTCTGACTGATGCAAAGGAAAAGGCCCGACATTCGGCCGGGCGTCTGCCTCTGTCCGTCTGCTCCCGGCGACCTCGCAGTCACGCAGGAAAGCGGGAGTCCGCGCTCACCCAGCAGCAGGGCACCGGCCACGGGGCGGGATGGTGAGGCCCGCCGGCGGCCACGCCGCACGCCGGGGTTGCCCGCGCCCCGGTCCACCAACGCTTCACTCCAATCTCACGCACACGCACTTTCCCTCCAAGGACTGAAACGGAAAGCAGCGCAAAAGCCCAAACGCGCTGTGCCTCGCAGAAGCCGCCAGTCTGAAAGCCATCGCACGGCAGGTCTGCGGCCCCACTGTGCTTGTCCACCCCTGGGAGGAAAACCCCGTCTGAACCTTCCGGCGTCCGAAGTCACACGGGGCTCGGGGCTCCCCGCCCACCCTCTGAGGTCAGCTGCACAGACACAGCCGAGGACGGCTTCCGTCCTCAGGGGAGTAGCTGAGAGGGGTCAGTCAGGTGCCAGAGCACTCCAACCCAAAACCACCATGTCCGACTGGTCCTTCCAAGCTTCCGATTTATTCCCCAAACCCTGACTCTCTCAGGTAAGCTGGTGAAAAACAAACACCGCAAACTATCCCTCTGCACTGACTACTGCGGGCGTGCGGACGAGCCTCCCGACTCACTGGCTTCATCCCCCGAACGCCTCCGCACGTGCGTGCACGAACTTCCAGCGGCAGACTGGCGCCTTGTCAGAGGGCACTTCTGCCAGCAGACAGGAGTGTCTCTGGAATAATTCCAGTTCTGTGGCACCAAAGACAGGGAACACTATGCTGTGGTGACAGAAACTGGGACAGTAGCTACTTTGGGGGTGTGATATTGTGATTAGATACCTGGTCTTTTTTCTCAGTTCCTGGCACAGAGCTCCCAAAACCCCTGGGATTTCCTGAGTGACGGGGACAGGAGTGTCTCCTGTCATTCATAAGCTCTTTCGCCACCACCCTCACCCCTCTGCAGGCTGCGGTGCCTTAATCACCAGTAGTCAATGACTTGATCAATCACACCTTCACGATGGAATTCCCGTGAAGAGGATGGGGTTCAGCGAGCTTCTGGGTTGGTGAGCACGCCATGGTGCAGGGAGGGTGGAAGCTGGAGAGGGGAGGGCACCCGCGCCCCCTCCCCACCCCTTGCCTTGTGCATCTCTTCCACGCGCTGTCACTCGGGCGTATGTCCGAGTTCGGGAGCCGGTGTGCGACCTGCTACGTGAGCGTCGGTTAGTGGTGTCAGTAAATAATTCTCAGAAGTGTGTGCTGTATTGTTACGACCACCCAGTGCTGCCCAAAGTGACATCAAATCAGACGTCGGAGCACCAGCTGCCGGCAGGGACACCATGCCACCATTCAACAGGGAGCCCCACCCTATCACGTCCCCAAATGCCAGGGGCTGAATTTTGCAAATTCACAGCCCCACTAACAGGTACCCCTGTTTTGTACACTGCTAGGGTTCCATGTTTCACACCTGCCGCGTGACGAGCCCATTAGACATTCAAGTACTTCACCCACGAGTATGAGGTTCCGAGGGAAATACACACTCAAAATATAACTTTACACTTCTCACCTTCCCTCCAGCTCAGCGTGACACCAAACAGTAGCCTGGTGCCCCCAGAACACTCGCCCACTGCTCACACCGAGCGTCACCAGCACGCGTGGTCAGGGAGGGCCCTTCCAACCCGCACTGTGAGCCTGTGGTCACCCAAGCAATCGACCCATGCATCCAGCTTCTCATTAACAACTGGCGTTACCAACAGGAACAGGTTCATTAATTATGATACAGCAATTCTGTCCCTTTAAGGCAGCAGTCTCTGACCTGTGTAGCACCAGGGACCAGTGTTCCTGTGAGAATCTAACACCTGACGATGAGGTGGAGCTGAGGCGGTGATGCTGGCGCTGGGGAGGTACAGTGAAACGTCCCTCACTCACCCACCGCTCCCCTCCTGCTGTGTGACCCAGCTCCCAACAGGCCACCTACCAGTACCAGTCCATGGCCTGAGGGCTGGGGAGCCCTGCTTTAAGGTCTCGGCCTCATCTCACGTGACTCAGAAGACCACTCTGCTCCCCTCCGCCATGTCCCTGGCCTCTGAGTGCAGGTGTCCGGGGCCGGACGCACGCCCCCTTCAGGTGTTCCAGCCAAATTCTCAGACTCTGCTCTCCCAACCCTTCACCCCCAGCACCTGAGTAAACCCGCGGCCCCACCTTCCACAAACATCCGGAACCTGGCCACCATCTCGCTGTCCCAGCCTCTGCAGGCCCTTCTGGCAGCCGGAGGGGCCCTTAACAGGCACCTGGGACTCAGCTGCCTCCCTGAGACCCCCAAGGCTTCCCCAGCTCAACCTGCGGGTGCCCACCCCACCAGCCCAACGTCCTCTGCTGGTCAGCAAGGCCTTCCCCGACAGCCGCACTGAAACCGCACCGCACCAGGGAGGCCTCCCTCCCGTGACGGCACAGCTCACGACCTCACCTGCTCTCTGCTCCTTGGGACCGTGGGCCTGTCCCCTCTACAATATAAGTGCCAGGAGGCAGGGACGGGGGTGTTCAGGCCTACGCAGAGGATGCACGGGCACATTCCCTACTCCCCAGGCTCCCAGACCTGGCAACTGACTCCGACACCCATGGATCCAGCCCTTCCCCACCGTGCCCCACCCTCTCCACAGCGGGGCACCTCACTCCTGGAACCCACGCCAGCCATTCCTTTCACCTGAGTCAGCCCGCTACACCGCGCTCTACTCCACCCCTGCTATGCACTCTCTTCCCTAAATCACAGGCAGCCCACGAGACCCTCTGCCCCAAATCCATCTCCGCCCCACTGGGCCCCACAGGGAACATGGTCTGGGCCCTGCTCCTGCTCACAGACTCTGGGACAGCTTCTGCTGAGCCTGCGTCTGCCCCACCCAGGCTCTGCCCCTCTGGGGAGGGTGGGCCACCAAGTGTCCACTGTGAGGGCCCAGCACAGGGCGGACAGGGGCCTTGAGCACAGGCCCAGACTCGACGACAGGCAAAAAGTGCGCCCTATTTTTGGCATAACTTGCGGGACCTGTGGGTAACCTTTTCTAATTTTCCTCCCTGCCCGTCCCTGTACACGATCGCGATGTCCCGTGTGGAAGCCGACCTGCCAGGCCACCCTCGGCCAGCACACCGACTGCTGGGGGCGGCTTGGCAGGCTGGCGTCTTACACTGCCAGAGAGGGGGCCCAAACCCAACTCTCAAAACGCAAGGTGAAAAGGCCTTGTTCTTCCTGGAGAAAATGCTTCCTCCGGCAACCAGCGGTCACTGTACACCCTGGGCTCTCACCCCAAATGACAGCCATCGAGGAAACGATGTGCTCTGTCAGGACCCCAGAGGTGTGACATTCGGGCTTATTTCATCGGTAAGCCGAGAAGCTCTAAGGCGGGGGATCCCAGCTGAAAGCCCCCGCTTCCCGCATCCCTGCGGCAGGCAGAAGGCATGCACGTGGCCGCCACTCTAGTCACTGTCACCCAAGCGAAGGCTTCCAGGCTCCCGCCATGGACCACGCGTGGTGCTGAGAAGACAAGCGTTACCACTGATGCAGGCCACAGGCTAGGGCAACACAGCCTTGGGTGACACGGGTCTGGGACGCAGGAGGACACAGGAAGGACACGTGGGAGGCACAGCCTTGCGTGTCAGGAGGTGCCTGCAGGGTTGTCCCAGGCAAAGGGACCAGCGGGCCAAAGGCCCAGGTCAGAGAGCGTGCCTTTGGGAGCCTGAGAGCCAGCGAAGGGACCAAGGGGAGAGAGGGCGGGCCAGGGGCTGGAGGCAGCTGCTCCAGGGTGCAGACGCCTCCGCTGACATGACGGCCTCTGCGGCCAGCAAAAGGCTTCACAAAGGACCCTGAGGCTTTTTGCTCGTTTAAAGTTCAACTACCAATAAATTCTGCGGTGTGTCACTCATGCTGCAATAACGCTGTTTAAAACAAACTTGAGCACCGACTTCGAGCTGGCTGGGACCTCCACTTAAGATTGAATCACTAAACCCCACAGTCCTCGCAGGTGACAGTGGCCGATTGGTCGGAGCCGCCGTGACGTGCGCGCTCTGAAGTCGCCTCCGGGGTTTCTCCCCGCCTGTGGTTCTCCGTGCGCCGCGAGCGGGGGACTCCCGCAGCAACGCCGTCGCTGGTCTTCAACTCCCGGGAACCTGGCCGGTGTCCACGAAGGGGGAGGCCCCAGCCGAGGGCCCCGCGGCGGCACCTTCCCTCCCCGGCGCCCGACTCAGCGCAGGGCCCCGGCGTGGGTCGCATCAGAAAAAAGACCCTGCTCACTTAAAGGGTAGGAAGGCGCACGAGGTCTCCTTTGCGGGCATTGACATGTTTTAGAACTAGGTAGTGGTGATGGCTGCCAGCCATGATGAACGGACGAACGACACTGAATTGTATCGTTTCAGTGGTGAATTTTACCACCGAACAAAACCAAAAACGCACAACTTATGGCCTCCAGACACACGGAAACATCTAGAAATAAGGTAGTGGCCTTGGCCAGCAAAAAGGGGACAGTGCTGGGAAGGCTGACTGTTGACTCCATCCCTGCTGCTACGTGGGTGACCCGAGGCCAGTCTATTTATCTGCCAAAGGAGGGTCAAGAGGAAACCGACAATGTGTCATAGAACAGGGGCTTTGCCGAATATCTGACAAGCAGCATTTTTAGCGTCCAGAGAGGGGACTGCTGTCCTCGTTTTGCAAAAAAGAAAACGGAGGCTAGAGGGAAGATTCCTTACCCCAGGTCGCACGCACAGCACATCTGGCACGTCCACTCCAGGGATCATCGGGAGCAATGGGAACCACCCGAGGACAGAACAAGCGGAAAAACAGCAGGCTTTGCGGTCACGTCATCCGAACTGCTTACCCCGCCTTGGACTCGCTTGCGACACAGTGCATCAGTCATTCCTTAATGTGGAGCTGGGATTCCCGGATCCAAACTCGATACCCCCGGGAGACGCAGCAAGGCCTCCCACCTCTGACAGAAGTGCCATGAAGTCGGTGCTGGCTGCAGGTGGCCGTGGACCCCCCAATTCAGCGAGGTTTCACCAAGCCCCTGGCCGAGCACGTGCTCAGGTTTCCCAGCGGTGAACCCCAGCAGCAACCCTGCAGGAGATGGTTCTTGCAGCAAAGAGGAGGAGGTTCAGCTGCAGCAGTGTACCCCGCTTCCCTCAGGTAAAATCAGATTGCCGCCTGCCTTCGATAGTGATTCCCCGGGAGTGTCAGACCTCACTCCTCCAGGGTTGGGGACAGGGCAGAAGTGCTGGCTGGGGGCCACCTCAGCCCCGCCCGTGTCCAGAGATTTGATGAGCAAGGTCTCAATTCCTGGGAAGGCAGCCAGCCACCTGCAGACGTCACTGAGCCAGTCCCGAAAGTACTCGCCGGTGCTTCTGGCATGAAAACGCTTTCATTTATTTTAAACGTTGCTGCTTTTACAGGACTTTCACGCACTCGGGTTTTTTTTCCTCCTAATTTAATTCGGACAACAGGCCCGCGAGGTGCGCAGAGATGAGAGCGGACAGAGGGAGCCTCAGTGGCATGGCCCTGACTAGGAAGTGGCCGACCCGCCCCCGGCTGCCAGCTCGGAAGGGGTGACACCTTCGCCCTGACAGGCCAGGAAGGGTGACTCACTCTGGTCCTCGGGCAGCTCAGGGGATTCCCACTCAAGTTCCTTCCTGTCAAAAAGAAAGCAAAACTTCGTCCTCAGAGGCAGCTACCATGGGGAGGGGCTGGAAGTCACCTGGGACAGCTCCAAGCAGACATGGGAGGGAGCCGGGGCTATGTCCGGGGGCAGCAAAGGGCATGGAGGGTTCAGGCCTGGAGTCCTGTCCTGGGCTTCAGTGCCTCCCATAGAGAGGCATGGGCCTGGCCACAGGTCAGGGCAATGCCATGTGGACGCCCGCTGCTTATGGCTCAGCAGGAGAGGACCTGTCCTGGGCCTGCAGACCACGGGGATGGGACCCTGCCAAAGCCACCTGCCATGGCCAGAGTTTCTTGAAGGCAAGCAGCTCGTCGCTCCCGAGCCAATGACAGCCTGTGCCGCCCCCTTTGTCTTCCTCTCTCCCCTTGGCATCCGTGCCCCGGAACACCTCTGAACACTGGCGGCACCTCTGCTCCCCACAGGCGTGGCCCTCATAAGGCTCTCAGCACAGGCCTCTGCTCACTTGGGCCCCTGGGAGGACAGACATCAGCTCACACACAGGCCTGGAGGCAGGAAGGCCGACCTGAGCTCCCACTCGGGACCTGGACATAGGACGCCCCTCACCTGCCAGGTACTGTCCCCACAGCCTCCCGAGGCAGAGCCACCTCACCAAATACGACTCACCTCTCTTCCGAAGAGCTCACCCCTTCTCATTTTTCAGATATTTGAAGGTCAGCCTTGAGCTGCAGCTTCTGAACAAAGTGGGTTTCACTCTCGCTCCGCTGCCACCATCTGAGGGACACGTCCCAGAAAGATCGGTGCGGTCCCTCCCGCAGAGTAACCCCAAGGGAAGGAGAAAGACACTGCTGGGGGCTCTGCCCCCAACAGCACCAGCGCTCTGAGATCAGAAGGCCGCAGAGCCCAGGGACCCCGCCAGCAGCGTGAGCCCACCGAGAGGAAAGCCGGGGTGCCAGGGTGTGGAGTGCGGGTCCAGGTCAGCGGCGGTGGGAGGCGGGGCGCCCAGCTGGCTCCCGGCAGACGAGAAGGAGGGGCAGTAATAACAGTGGGGGGGGCAGGTTCACTTGTCACCGACTGGCACTGCTAGAGCCACCTGATGACACTGCCAATCCCAAACAAGCAGCATTTGGAGCAGCAGGTTTCAGGAAGCTCTGGAAAAGTACTAGGAGGAATGCAAAGATCGCACCCAACCCCCCGCCCACCTCCCTTCAGACAACCTCAAAACACAAATGCCCCCCCACACGCAGCGCCCAAGGCCAGGTGACAACCTCGTGTGCAGTGCTGCAGGTGCGCAGGGCTCCCAGGCCCCAGGGCCTTTGCACCCGCCAGGCCCTCACCTGGACCAGCTTCCTCTCTCCGCCAAACGCTTGGCAGGCCTGGGCCCTGTGGGGGGTCTCAGTGTCCTGGGATAAAGAGGGTCTGGCGGTGGACCCCTGTCCAGTGGGTTATGCACTCGCCTGGCCTGACAAGAATCGGTTTGTGTGCACGTGTCCTGCCCCAAGTGTGAATCCCTGGAGGGAAGCGGCCCCTTCGGCCCCACTCGGGCCCATTCTTGTCTGTTCTCGCTGGAGGGAAGGAGGCTGACAGGACAGAGACGCTTGACCCAGCACAGGTGCCAGCGCCGCCTGGCGCAGCGGCAGGTTCGCGCGCGCCCTCTGCCGGCAGCGGCCGGAAGTGCCCGTGAACCCGGCCCTAACGGCGCGGGCAGGCACCGCACCTGCTTCCTGAGAGCACCTGGCTCCCTCCGACTGCCTCGCTCTGAATCCGCAGACAGACAGCTCTACTGGCACTCGGATTCAACAAGTGAGATCACCTGGCCAAAGTCCGCAGCCCGTGTCCGGGAGGCTCCAGGTGCCTAGCAGGGTCTCTGTATCCTGCTGCACCCGGCACTCCAGGGCCTACCACTGCAGCCCTCCACAGCACCCCGACACCCCCTTCAGCTCCACCCCTGGGCCCGGGCCCCCAGCCTTCTTTGGCCCAACTGGGACCTCTGACCCCCGTCCTGACTCGGGTCCACCGTCGTTCCCTGCTTCCACAGACCAGGCCCATGCCTGTCAGCGCCCCCCTCTCCAGCTGGCCGACTCTCCTGCCCTGGCCCACTGCCCACACCCTGCATCTGGCTTAGTCTTGGTTGCCCTGTCTTCTGTGGCTGAGGGGACTCGAGTCACTCCCAAGTAGCCAGAGAAGCAGGTGGCCCTCCTCCACTGCCCCCTGTCCACACGCTCACCCTCCCAGTGGGCAGTCCATGCCTCCCATATGCAGCTTTCCCTCCTCACTGAGGCCAGAAGACTGGACACCCGAAGGATCCTTTTAAACCCCCCTCCTCTACCGGACCAAGGTGTGTGCAGTGACAGCGACAATGGCCGGAAAAGGACAGCAAGTGGTGACAAGTTTCCTCCAGTGCACGTCCCCTACACAATCCTGTGGGTGCAAAAGGAAAACCCTTCAATGGAGAAGAGGGAAACAGTGGACCAGGACCTTCGTGACGTAAACTTTTTTTCGGATACGGAGGATGTGCTGGTTTTCCTCAGTAATGAGCAATAACACTCTAGCTCACTTTGTTTTGCGTCTTAATGTCTGCAAATTTGACAACAATTTTGTCACAACTGATCTTTCTCTGCTTGTCATGCTCAGTAGGCACTCCAGCTGTATGTGTCTGTTTTCACTCATAGCTGACCATAGGGCAGGTTATATTAACCTTAACTTTGGAGATCTTCTTTCCCTTGAAGTCACATACACAGATAGGAAGAACCTTAAACATAGGATACGTTTGGTACAGATTCATAAAAACTCCACTTTGTAGTACATTCTAGAAATTATTCTAAACGGGCGTCTTTGGTGGAAGCTCATCCTAACAGCTTTCAGATGTCTCTGCAATTGGCGAATTGTGAATTCAAATGAAAACTCCAGCAGCCACATAGAATGACAGGATTGAAATATTCTCAGCATCATGGCCGCACGAATGTTGTCTGTTGTGCTGCTTAAACGCAGGAGTGGAAAGTTGCACCAGAGCTGGGAACACACCTGCACCCAAGTTTCTGGAGCTTCCCCTTGAAACAGAGGGTGTGGCTGATTCCCACGTAGGTTATGGCATGGATTAAAGGATCGTGTCTAGAGCCTGCTGTGCCGCACCTGGGCCGACAGAAGATATTTCTAGGAGGAGTATTCGATCCCTGATGTTATGTAGGTTTGTGAGAACATGGTAATAATAGAAACCAAATGAACTTTTGGTTAATTTTGTTGCATAAGATCCACCCCTTGGGTTGCAGAATGGGGCAGGGTCATCGGAGGCCAGCTGCACCAGCATCATACAAACCCAGAGTCCTCAGCACCAGAGCCAGCTGGGCTGTAGGGAGGGGCCGAACACTGCAGGACTGGCTGGAAGTCTAAGGACAGCGTGACCCGCAGGCCCCCTCCTCAGCCAGCATACCCAGGCGACTTTCCCGCCCTCGCTCCTGTAACTGGCGGGAGGTGATGAGCACAAGGGCCCTCTGGCCTCAGGGACTCCAGGCTCAGTTCCTCCCTGTGCCCCCCACCCTCCAAAAGCTGGTGTCTAAGCACAGGACAGTAGGTCAGCCAAGGACTTTGAGAAGAGATGGCTCTTCCAGCCCAGCTACCCTGCCGAGGAGCGCACCCTGGGAAACCCTGCCGTGCACATGAGGCTCCCGGCTGCTCCCGAGGGCAGACAAACAAAGCAAATAAACACGTGGCTAAACAAACAAATGAGACTGGCAACACAAGGAAAGTTACATGGGAAAGGAGATACGACCACCGTGCATCATGTGGCTCTGCTGTGAATGATACTTACAGAATCGCGTTCATCAAAATTCTGGCAAAAGATCAAACCAATAACTTTTAAGTTAAAAATCAGTAAAAAGTAGCATGCTGGTCTGTTGAGACAACCCGTCATTGTTGGTTTCCATAGGGAGTTCAGCCCCCTCCACTCCTGCTCTGTCCACACTCCCCCAGCAGTGCCTTGGCCCCATGTACACACTTCCACTCTCCACGATGCAGCCAGAGGGCTCTATCCCAAAGCAAATCTCAGTGGGTCATTTCTGCTGGAACCCTGAAGAGGTTCTTGCTTCTCAGAAGGTGTCTGGAGGTGTCAGACCTGTATATGGAGCCCAGATGTCAGCTCCTGTGACACCTACAGTGGAGACAGAGTCCAGGTACAGTATCTCAAATGAAGACTCCTCTGTTCGGGCTTAATATAGTATTGGAGCAGGTAGAAAATAGGGTGATTGATCCTGGAGACAGAACCCTAGAAATTAACCAATCTGAAGAACAGAGAGAATAAAGATGGGGGGGGGAAGAATTGTGAAACATAACAAGCAGAACTATATATATTAATTGGTGTCCCAGAATAAGAAAAGAGATTGAGACCGAAAAAAATTTTTCAATACTGTTAAGAATATTCCCAATGTGGTGAAAAATATATTGATCCAAGAAGCTCAGCAATGCCAAGCAAGATTAAAACAAACAAAAGTGCACTTGGGCATAATAATAGGAGACCCCCAAAACCAAGAGAAAATCTTGCAAGCAGCCAGATTACAGGTCACATTG